CAGGCCAGGTGCAGAGCCGGGAGTGCATCGAGGAAGTCATCAAGTTCGCCTACGAGGAGAAGCTCTTCCTGCTGGCTGACGAGGTGGGCGGGGCCACGGTGACCTGGGCGGGTCCCCCATTCCCGGGAAAAGCCCGGAATTCCCGGTGACGCGGCGGGATGTCCCCACGCCAGGTGTACCAGGACAACATCTACGCCGAGGGCTCGGCCTTCTACTCCTTCAAGAAGGTCCTGATGGAGATGGGGCCGCCCTACTCGGACTCGGTGGAGCTGGCCTCCTTCCACTCCATCTCCAAGGGATACATGGGAGAGTGAGTCCTGGGAATGCCCTGGGAATGACAGAGGCCCCACGGGTCCCGCCAGATGGGGGATGGAGGTGCCACCACCCCATGGATCTCCTGGGGTTGGGATTGGGGTCATGGATGGCATGGATTGGGGATGGAGATGCCACCATCCCATGGATCCCCTGGAATTGGGATTTGGGTCATGGATGTCATGGACTGGGGATGGAGATGCCACCATCCCATGGATCTCCTGGGGTTGGGGACATGGATGTCATGGATTCGGGATGGAGAGGCCACCACCCCATGGATCCTCTGGGATTGGGATTTGGGTCATGGATGGCATGGATTGGGGATGGAGATGCCACCACCACCCTATGGATCCCCTGGGACTGGGGCTATGGATTGCCATGGATGTAATGGATTCGGGATGGAGAGGCCACCACCCCATGGATCCCCTGGGATGGGTCATGGGACCCATCCATGGGTCCTGCTCCATAGGTTCCCATCCATGGATTCCCATCCCAAAATCCCATCCATGGATCCCATCCACAGATTCCCATCCATGGATCCTATCCATGGATCCTTCTCTGTATGTTCCCATCCATGGATCCCATCCCAAACCCCCATCCATGGATCTTCACCCACAAATCCCACCCACATCTCCCACCCATGGGTGCCTCTCCATAGATTCCTATCCATGGATCGCATCCATGGGTCCTTCTCCAAAGTTTCCTATCCATGAATCCCACCCATGGGTGCCTCTCCATAGATCCCATCCATGGGTCCTTCTCCAAAGGTTCCTATCCATGGATCCCATCCATGGGTTCCTCTCCATAGGTTCCAATCCATGGATTCCCACCCCAAACCCCCATCCGTGGGTCCCATCCATGGATCCTTCTCCAGAGGTTCCCATCCGTGGATCCCACCCATGGGTGCTTCTCCATAGATTCTTCTCCATGGATCCCATCCCAAATCCCCATCCATGAATCCCACCCACATCTCCCATCCATGGGTCCCTCTCCATAGGTTCCAATCCATGGGTTCCCACCCCAAACCCCCATCCATGGATCCCACTCACAAATCCCACCCACATCTCCCATCCATGGGTCCCATCCATGGGTCCTTCTCCAGAGGTTCCCATCCGTGGATCCCATCTATGGGTCCCTCTCCATAGATTCCTCTCCATGGATTCCCACCCCAAACTCCCATCCATGGGTCCCATCCATGGATCCTTCTCCAAGGATCCCACCCAGGGCTTCCACCACCAGCCCGATCCCCATTCCCGGTTCCCCCCGTCCCCGTTCCCGATCCCGATCCCGGCTGCCGGCAGGTGCGGGCTGCGGGGCGGCTACATGGAGGTGGTGAACCTGCACCCCGAGGTGAAGGCGGAGCTGGCCAAGCTCGTGTCCGTGCGTCTGTGCCCGCCCGTGCCCGGACAGATGGTCCTGGACGTGGTCATGGACCCGCCCAAGCCCGGAGACCCCTCCTACGAGCGCTTCCAGGCGGTACGGAGCGGGATGGGATTGGGATCCATGGGATTGGGATCCATGGGATGGGATTGGGATCCATGGGATTGGATTGGATGGGATGGGATCGATGGGGTGCGATTGGGATGCATGGTCAGGATTGGGATCCATGGGATGGGATTGGGGTGAGATGGGATCCATGGGATGGGATCCATGGGATGGGGATCCATGGTCATGGACCCGCCCAAGCCTGGAGACCCCTCCTACGAGTGCGTCCAGGCGGTACGGAGCAGTGGGATGAGATTGGGATTGGGATCCATGAGATGGGATTGGGGTGGGATTAGGATTGGGATGGGATCCATGGGATGAGATTGGGTTTGGGATTGGGATCCATGGGATTGGGACTGGGATCCATGGTCATGGACCCGTCCAAGCCTGGAGACCCCTCCTACAAGCGCTTCCAGGCAGTACGGGTTTGGCTGGGACTGGGATTGGGATTGGGATTGGGATCCATGGGATTGGGATCCATGGTCATGGACCCGCCCAAGCCCGGAGACCCCTCCTACGAGCGCTTCCAGGCGGTATGGAATGGGATGGGATTGGGATTGGGATCCGTGGGATTGGGATCCGTGGGATTGGGAT